CTCCGGAATTCGAAAGAAGATGTTCGAATTTTAGACAGTTCAGATTATCGTTCAGACGCTAGGATTCTAGAATCTATTTGATAGTATTTTGAGTTTAGATTTTACGGGTTCTCGTGCCAAGAGATCGTGTCTATAACTCTAATCTACTTTTTGTTCGAGTTGATCGATTCAAGTGCCAGGGAGCCTGGGCTCATAACCTATAGGAATCTTTGATTCCTTTATCAATCCAAAACAACACTTATATCAGTCAGTAATCAAGAATGGAGGTATAATCCGGAGTGAGAAGATGATATAGAGTGTTGTAAGAAAAAGCTTTCAATAATGAATAATAAATTTCTTAATCAAATAACAAATGAAACTAAACATAACAATAAACAACAAGGTCATACCTTTATCAATCCAAAACAACACTTATATCAGTCAGTAATCAAGAATGGAGGTATAATCCGGAGTGAGAAGATGATATAGAGTGTTGTAAGAAAAAGCTTTCAATAATGAATAATGAAAGAGAAAGAAAGCTTTTTCCCAACCGGATGATTTGATAAACTATAATGAGTGATACATCATGTTATTAGGTTTGAGACATACAAAGTTCGTGAGTAATGTAACAGAACATAATTCATAGCACATGTTAATTCATAAGTAAATAAGACATAAAGAAAACAAAACCAGAAACCATTAATATGAATGTAATTTGTTCCAACGTCTCATTCACTCATTTCCAATCCTTTTCTGATTCCACCATGTCATCCCTTTCCCAAACCACCACATCCTGCACATCCTGAACCCTCAATTTGACTGATCACTTCTCACAACCAGCATACTCCTTTCTTCTCAGTCTGCTGCTTCCCAACACACTATGACCTCTTCAAGTATCCTCGCTCCAGAAACGCAAGTTTGATCAGGACCATACAAAGTCAGCATTAAGGTGTTGGATATCCAATACCTCCAGGGTGGAAAGACAATTTCTCAAGTGCAAGAGTTATTGATGTCACCAGTTAGCTCACACATAATCTCACAATTCACACCCTCCATCATAGGAAGGCCTCCATGGTTTGCAACCCTGAGGAGCACAACATGCTTGGGAGGAGGTTACCCTTGCTGGAAGAGGACTAAGACTTCATGATTGAGCTCATCAAAGGGAATCCTGGTCTTTACCTCAGCAAGTATTGACACACCATGTACCATTGTACTGGTACATGGATCTCCCTACCAATGGTCACCTGTGACCTCAAAAATTGACACAAAATCTCTCTCAAGAGATGTCTTACTGTTCATCCCTGCCAAAGCACTTCCAAACAAGCCCAATATTTACATGCAGTTGCAGGTTTGACCCTTGATATGCTGGTTTTCTTAGGTGAGTGTATGATTTGACCCATTTTTCCAAGCTGAAGAGTTGATTTGTGATACAGACAAGTGTGCCCTCCAGGAATGCTTCCTCAACAGGCAGTTTGGCCAAGCCATCAAATGCCATTGTACTAACAGAGTACTGGGCAGTTTTACTGGCAAACAGTACTCCTTTCTTGCAGCAATTTTGCAGGCGGTGTTCTGATTCCCGCCTGCCAAGAGGGAAGCTATCTTTGCATGGACATCAAGGTGTTTTCTCAAAAACCAACTGGTATGTCTCTGTATTTTGTCACCTGTGGCAATACCTGATACTCACCTGTTCAATGTGACAGGTTCTAGTCATGAATTCTTATCCACAAGCAAACTTGGTTTTGGTCATGGACAACACCTGTGTCCATCATGGGGAACAGATTGCTGAGCTGGCCCAAGAAAGAGGTTTACACAGCATATACCTCCCTCTGTAGTCACCCAATTTCAACCCCGTTGAGAAAGCCTTCAGTGTTCTCAAGTCCCACTTCAGATGTACTTATAACAGCCTCTACCTAGCCACAAACCACGAGAAGATCCACTTAATTGTGGACAAAACTTGGGCCATATTTTCTGGTGATCTTATGCATCAGTTATACATGGTGGGCGGGTATTGGTTTACACCTGAAAGGTTTACTAGTTGACCTCATCAGCACCCTCTAACCCATTGGCCTGAAAGCGCATAAGATTGCCCTGAGTCAAAAACTTTTGAGAAACCAAAAGTGATCAAGATGAGATAAAAATGAGGAGACATACCCAATCATTAGAGTAGACTTGTATTTGCAAGGTGATGAGGAGTACTACTTGGTCAGGATTCTTTGGGTTTCAAACCAAGGTGTCATTTCCACCCTGTTTGAAGTCCATTTTGAAGTTTTGCCTCAATATTTGGAGGTGGTGTTCCCTGGGGCTAAGAATGGCAGACAGACACATAAAAATTTCAGTTGAACTCCTCTACATGAGATCAAATGGAAGACAACAAGATTGTGAAAAGGTGAAGCCTTACGCCAACCAAAACAACAGATCCCTCAGAATCATTCTCATCAACAGTATTTTGAAGGGCACTTGCAACAGCTTGTTTGGTGTTTTTGGTCTTTACTGGGTTTTTGTGAACAATTCTGAACCCCACAACCAATGCAACAGAGGCAGTCAAGGCAACAGTGACAAAGTCTTTGAAAAAATTGGTGCAATTGATGGCAACTTTGTCATTACCCTGATGCTTGGGGAATTGTTGATGAACTCCTGGATCAAGATACATCCAGATAGCCAGCCCCCCTGAAGCACTACAGAGACACTGAACAGATCAGAGTTTTAGCCAGTAAACATTTGTTTTTTTAAAACAAACAAAAACCATTTTTTTGGACGTATAATTATTGGGACTGGGTTGATTAATGGACTCATTTATCTTTGTCACCAAGTTGGTGGTTGGAGATATCCTACACCAAAAAAAAGATCATGAGTGTTTCTTTCCAATTCTCACAGCCAGTGGCAATAAATAACTCACTTATTTATTCCCATGCTTTGAGCCAGAAAAGCCTGGTGGCTGCAAGGCCAGATTGCCCACAACATGTTGTCAATTTGGTTGTTGGCAGCCTTGCCAAGATGAGAAACAACCAAAACAAAATCAGTGAAATCAAGCAAGCAATTGTGAGGAAGAATTGAAAGGGAAAAATTAAAGGGAAACAACTCACAATGGGATTTGTGACAATCTTTGGTTAACCATAGTGGTAGTTGGTGTGTTGTTTGGAAACAGGGATAGTTTTATGGATTTTTGCCAGTATGTTGGGGGGATTGATAGGGAGGATAGCCTTTGATGGTGCGTAATGGGTTGTTAAAGTTGTGGTTCATGAGATTATTGAGGACTGTGTTGACCAAACACCTTAATGGCCAACCGGAGTTGGGTCACTGATGTGAATTCAAGACATTGAGCAGAAGGATGCAAGCCATTTGTTTGTTGGTCTTTTGGGTCCAATTTGAATAGGTCAGCCAAGCATCAGGACAGCCTGATCAGTGGATAAGGGCAGGGACCTGATCTACAATGCTTTGTGAGTGATTATGGTAGGTTGGTCCCGGTGGTCTATCAATGGTGATACTAAACAACAATCCACTGGTTATCAAATTCAACTAGGTTAATCAGTGAAAATGTCAGGTATATGATCTGTTGTTAATTGTTTACCAACTGTGAGTGTCTTCTTTCTTGTTAAAATGAGCAATGAAGAGAGTTTTCAGTGACATATCCATTAGCGTCTACTCATCCCAATCTAATCTGCAAGGTATAGCCTCAAGCCTAAGGTGTATGAAGTGTTGGGGTTGTTTACCAATCACAACCCTACTATTACTAACTGGCATTACCACCCACATCAGAGTATCCTTTGCACTTGTCCCCCAAGAAGTAAGGAGGTGGGGGATCTGTATGCGAGAACTTAAGGGTCTTGCTAGGTTCAACAGTGACATCATCTCTGCATTCCACACTTTTTTAAAGTGCTTTTTGGCTAAATCACAATAAAAGTACTAGTACACCTTGAAATATTGGCCATCTAGTTGAGAACAGGAGTAGACATTTACTTTAGGATGAAGCAGATATCTTTTTGATTCCAAGCTTATTGCTTTTAAACCCTTTTTACATCTTTTTTTGAAAATAATAATTGAATAATTTAATTTTATTAATCCATCTTCAGGATTTTAGCCCACCCAAAGTAAAGCAATGGACCCCTAGCATCACTCTTTCTTCTTGGAAGAGAGAGATGGTAGAGTCACACTTTGTCAAAAGACATCCTGGATCCATGATTTGTATCATCCGCGGCTGTCCGTGCGGATCCCGTTACGGGCTTTTTCCAGCCCGACTATCACCTCTAGAGGGCCGGATCGTCTCGCTGCGGAGCTTGGCCCGCGCGGTTTTGTGGACTAACAGGGCTATTCAGGACCCCGGTATGCGCCTGCAAAGGGTAGTCCTACAGACAAGTTCATTTTGAGCTCTCGCGTGGCCCCGTCTCTGCAAAACTATTAAGTCCAATCCCTATTGTAACCCATAGCTTTAGGGTCCTTCCTCGGAAAGCTTTCAAAAATCAAAATACTTGCGTCCATGCTATGATACAACCACTCCAAAAAGTTTCCCGACTCTCAAAAAAAGCACAGAGACAAACTTGACAACAATCACCTTGTGCGTATAAGTTATAACTATGGACTCCGATTCGACCGATTTGGTTCACATGAAAATCAAATCGGAAAGAAAACATCAATAGTTGTCTCTTTTACCAGTTCACGTTTTGTGTATCTTTCGCGGTTCTTTTTTTTGTACTCTGTTTCTTTGTTCTTTTTGTCGACTATTTGCTTACTGAAATTGTAGGACCTTTCGCAAGTCGTATCTTTCCTGTTTCTTTTTCCAAATACAATGAGAAAGTAATCTCACAACACTGCTTACAGGATTGATAGGTTGAAAATTTGTCGAGTCATCGAACTCAGTACATGATGCACATTATTCAATCGGCTGCTCCACTTTTCTTTGCTCACGTTTTATGTGACAAGACCAAACTAAAATTCATCGTTTTATCAATGAGTATACATACTGTTGGATAAGAAGCATACAAAAAGGAAGCATATAAACTGCAACGTATTAGTTTCTAAGAATATCAATCACAAGGTTTTTCTGAAGCTTTCTTTGCTAGCTTCTGATACACCTTTTTAGTCTTTTTGGGCAGGAAGAGACTCTGCCACGCAGGAGCAGTAGATATGAAGTTTACAAGTACATCCGGGACTCGATAATGACCTGGTCCAAGGTTAGTAAAATCTGGGTCGTCACCTTGCGGACTGTAGAGGTACACAATGAACTTTGCAGCCAGATGACTGAAAGTCCATTCATTTGGCAAATCTTGCTGATGAGCAGCGTGAATTGTTGTTTGACCAGGGCTGTATCGGTAAATCTCCAGCGAGACGTAGGAGAGCTTGGCGCGCGATGAAGACTCGGGAACCCATGCGTGCTTGCCTGAGTGATGTTCAAAGATCGCAAGAACACGTCCTAGGTAGAAGTACTATTCATTTCAAAATCTGGTGTTAGTTTTGAAACAAGTGAGATATGATTTGAATATAATGCTTACGCCGTGTTTGATCACAACAACCCATTTGTTATTTGTGATTGGTGTTTTGGCTGTGATCGCACCGGCTCCGAGCTTTTGATCTTGCTGTTCTACACCAATCTGGCCTGGTCCTTTTACACATTCAAATTGTGTGTCGAGATCATCTGGGTTTACTAAAGTGTCTAACTGCATGTCGGTAGGCTTGCAAAGCTTGCGTTTTCCCAGAGTCTTCCAGCGGTGTTGACAGGCTTCACCGTATTCTGGATCGTCCTGTGATCGCCAGTAAAACAAAATGGCTTTACTATACTGGCTTGGCGAAAGCGTCTGATGGCCGGTGTCTGGGTCGTATTGAGGAGTGGGCAGATCTTTTGATACAACACGTGGTCGCTCTGGCCCGTGATGATTACCGACTTGACTGTCGTGAGCGTGTCTTTCAGATGCCATACGAGCTGTATCCAAATCTCCGTCTGATGTCACCAAAGGTTTTGAGAGACTTGATGAGTTTAAATTCGGATCTTGTAGCTGATTGGGATCTGGCTGCTCAGCAATAAGATTGATAGGTGCTTCGAGTGCTAGATCTTCCAGGTCTTCTGTTAAATGAGACATCGCCACATCAGCTTCCTGATGGTCGCTTGTCAGTCCTGCGGCAGTTTCCAATGCCTGCTCAACGCTCATCGTTGATGTGTCAAAAGGATAGTCGAAGTTTGAGCGCTTGTGTATCGACACAGATGCATCCTCATGTTCTCCAAGTGCCTGATCGGACACCAATTCTTGGAGTGGCTGAGACAAACCGTCGCCTATTCCAGCAAAAGTTGCAAGTGCTTGCGCTGAAGATTCTGCTATTTTGAGTAGGTCACGGATTTTGTTATCACTTGGGTAACAACTGAGGATGGAAGTATAATTGTGTCTATTGTCATGTGAGAAATCGTGTTTGTAACCTATGCAATGCATGATCAGCTTCCTATTAAATTTGATGAGACTACAAAAACAAACTTGCCTGCATGTAAATTCTCACTATTAGGTATTACAATGTGCCCGCTCATGACACTCTTGATAACAGCAAATATTTTTGGCATCATCTGCCTTGCATCCAATAGGGTGAAAGTTGGTGAAATCACCCGCATCCATCCAAAGATGTGCTCGCAGCATTCAGTTCCATGCTTCCAGGGCATCAGTGGATGTGTGGGGTACCGGTCGCGATGGGAAATGATGAGTCCTAAAAGACTCTCTCCGAGTTTTTCAAAGATGCGGATGCTTTGGTGTGAGATGCAGTTTGAAGATAAATTCATCAAGTTTCCGGGTTCCTTCTGACGTCGGAGTAGATAAGCCTTCCACTTGCGGACAAAGAAAACTGCTGTGTAGCTTGAGACAATCCTTGCTGAATGTGGCATACTTTGATTTAACCATGAATCAACAAGTTCACCAAAGATGTAAAGGTATAATACAAGACCGATGCGATCCGGTTCCGTACAAGCAGCCCTGAAAGTACTCTCGCTGAAGGTCCGGTAAGCACATCCATCATCTTGCTTGTCCGTGTTTAGTATATCCTTATAGCCAAGTGGTGACTCATTAGTGCTAAGCAAGCTACGTAGCTGGTCGAGGTTGACATTGAACCTTCCAAAGGCTAATAAATGTGCCCCAGAAAGCAGTTGATTCGAAGCTGTCTTCCGAGCATGCTTAGGATCTTGTACTGCCACAATTGGTCTTTTGGAAGCGCCTAGAAGTGGAATGCGTATGTTGACTGCAAGTTCGGGAGCCGAGAACTGTAGATATTCATTTGCACATTCGACAAGTTGTTCTTGTGCAAGTACTTCTGATGCAGCACCATCGGACCCCAAGGAAAGAAGTGGGATTCCAAATTTTTCAAGCAAATCAAGGAATTCGAGATGTTGAGCCTTGATATCCTCAGCGGACTCATCCTCATGACTAGCAATCAAAGCCACAACAAAAGTGGGAACGTTGGGCAGCGGTACCTGTAATGTATATGCTCGAATCTGATGAAGGAGTCAGTTTTCTTCATTTGTGCTTTGGAAGGCAATGGCAGAGATTGAAATAGATAGATGCTTCACACTAACCTTTTTACACAGACAATCTCTCTCGACTGCATCTGTCACTGCAGTTTTTAAGTGATCGAGATCAACTATTTCAATATTGCCACCTTCCACACCAACTAAGCACCCCTCATTATAACGAAGTGCCTTTACACATACTGTTTGGTCAGTCCCAGCTGAGATCGGACCAGTGTATCCAATATGTTTTAGCCAAGAAACAACTGGAAGGACATTGTTGATGTGAAAGCCGTCAAGCATCCGAGCCCCAATCCTCTGCCGTACTGCGCGAAAGCTACGAGATGAGCGGCCGCAGAGATTTGCACGGAACAGCTCGAGAGCACCTTTAGAGTACGCTCCTGCAGTGGTGAGCATATTGTCGAGGTACTTGTTAAATTGCATTCCTCGAGTGCTTCGACCATTAGATTCGCGTTCGGCCCGTATGCCAACACCCTCTGCCACACCTCGGAACACCGGTAAATCCTTGAAAAGGCCAGCGCGGGCATGTACAGCAAACATAGTCCAGAATTCTAGGTCTCCAGCTCGGGTCGATTGTTCGAGTGACTGGTATAACATCCTTACTTCATTATACCGTACAAGCAGGTCATAAAAAGCACCTCCGTTCATGAAAGTCTTTGCAATGAATCTGAGACTATCATCAGTTGCATAGCCTCGATTGATCGCTTTACTCAAAGAGGAGAGTTTCTTGAGCTCCAAGCAAGGCTCGCAGACTTCAACAGCGTCAGGATCAAGAGTTGGAACCCTTTGAATACACTTGGTCGAATGGATTGAACCCTGGCTCCCGTCTCGCCTGATGATCCATGACGATAAAGATAAGAGCTCTTCATGTAACTTTTGTTTCTGACTATCTGAAAGAGAACTTTCTACAGAGGTGTTGAACAGTCTAATACATATAGTAAATCTTGGTGGATAACCATGATATGGTGTGCAAGAGTGTTGAATGCATCTTGATATAGGATGTTGTTCTGATTCAGGACGCTCCCATGTCTCGTCAGTCAAGCCAGCACATCGAACATCAAGTGGCTGTGGCGGATTAGCTGGATCATTCAAGTTTGTTGGCCGATTCACAGCCCTTCGAAGCCTCGCTGTTGCCTCCTTACAAGTCTCTACATTTGAGAAATCACCGGAGGTTCAGTATATAGAAAGTCCAGAGTTCCACAAACCACACCTACTCGTATTCCAATGAGCTTTGACAGCCATGATCCTGCCTCCTAACATCTTAACTGACTGTCCACAGTGGCATCGCAGAATTTGATTGGCGCCGTCTTTTGCAAAGACACAGTTCAGGCAACTCCGGCCGTCGTCTGTTTTTAAAGGACAGTCCGCACGCCGGTTTGCTTCTTTCTTGGCAGCTCGCTCAGCAGATAATCTAGCTTTGGCGGTGCGGAATACTGGTGACCGTGAGGCAAGAGATTCTTCATTAGATGTTGACATGGTTGAATTAAGGTTGAAAAAGTTGAATAACAATCGAGTACACAAGCTTTGCAAGAACCATTTAAGCGCCATCCAATTCGCGGAGAGATGCGGTATCAGTCTTTTTCTGAGACTGCCTGAGACAAGCCCTGGGACATACAGGGGTAGTATAATTTTTTCTCGAGTGGCGCTTGTTTTCGAGAGGCGTGTTTTGTTTTGAATCGCCGAAATTCTAAGCCTGTACACAGGTATTTTGTACAATTGGCGGATCAGAACGATCAGAACAATTTAAAGGAAAGTTAGGAAATGGAAGACAAATAACTTACGTTAATTTGATCAAAACATCAAATCAAGAGGTTGAGTCAGCAAGAGTGCGAGCCGCACAGTCACTTATAAGCTCTGTGAAAACTAGAGCTACAAAGTGACAAATCGAATGAAGCAAGAGAAACAATAAAAGAGATAAAAAGATGATCAAAAGGATTAATCGCTCCAAACGAGCCAATTGTAATGAAAAGGACACCCTAATGGAAAACACTTACAACATTTCAGCTTTATAAGAAGCCGTTGATGAGAAGGTGTCAAAGATATAACATATCTTGGACGAGTAAGAGGTGACAAATTTCAGTCCAGATCATCCAAGTTTTGCTCCTTTACAACTTCAAGTCCAAGCCCCTTCATTGTACTCGATTCATGCTTTTCAAAACCTTTTCAAAGACTCTCCAGGATGTAACATCTGGAATCTGGACTCAGCTTCATGTTGAAGATTTTGTCAAATTCTGTCTTTTGGTCATCGTACGGGTCGTGGTCTGGGTTTCCCTACCAAGACGCGAATCGAGCGAAGTGAAAGAGACAATATAAAGAAGATTAAAATAAGGAACTAAAATACTTGATCGCTCCAAAAGAAAATGCTGAGGAACAGATTACTGAAGTTCATCTTGAAGTCGCTCTGAGTCTGATCCGATTGAACATGAAAATATAAAAAACCTCAAATTTCAATTCATCTTTTTATCATCTATTCTTACGTTGATCTGTCAGATGAGGAAATGACAAGATTTTTAGGATGATCATGATCGATTGTGACCATGTAAGAAAATACAACGAGAGTTGAAACTTGAGCTGAGTTGAGAAACAAATAATGAACTATGGAGTGCCACCCTGTGCCACCATTCTTGACCACACTGTATGACGGGTGTACACAAAGCCACTATTTTCTGTAGCTGAGAGGGAGTCTCAGAGGAGTCTCAGAGGAGTCTCAGAGCATCAGAGTCTCAGAAAAAGACTGATACTGTTACGCTCCCCCAATTCGTATGCAGATGAGCGTCTGGGATGGCAAAAACTGGCAATAACCAGTGGCAGAAACATGTGGTGTATGTACAACAAAGTGTAAACCCATCATGTAAAATACCCGATGGAGCTCAAAATGAACTTGTCTGTAGGACTACCCTTTGCAGGCGCATACCGGGGTCCTGGCTATTCATCATATCCTGATTCCTGACTGTTCTACTAATTCATCTTTTTTGCTTCACAATGCCAGTCTCTCAAGAGTCAATGAAAGAAAAGTTGGTACAAGCCTTCCCAGGTGCGATCAAGACCGAAGTCTTTGATATTTCCGGAGGATGTGGGCAGTCTTATGAGGTCCGTACAAGAACCAAAGTTCGAGACATAAGAGTGATTGTAAGTTTAACGTTGCAGAATGGTCCTTCACAGGTCTTGATTGTATCTGATGAGTTCAGCGGTAAAAACTTGTTGACAAAACATCGACTGGTAAACGAACGACTCAAGGAGGAAATTGCCGAGCTTCACGCATTCACTCAGGTTTGGTGTCTTTCTCTAGTTATTTGGACTCATCTCTGCTGGCTATGAAGTTGAAGGGTCTCATCTTGAATCACTCAAACAGAAAACCTACACTCCCGAGCAATTTGCGAAGCTTAACATCACTCAGCCCTAGCCCAGAAAAAAGCATTCACTAATATCTCAAGCGTCACTCCATCCTGCTTCGTATTGATAGAATCGAGCTTCAGACTTAATGGTCGGTGAACATCAAGTCTTGCGATGCAAGGCCCGACTGTAGAATGGGTTATATATGCTCATTGCTACTTTCTTATTGATCATCCAAGCAATTCGTACGGCCGACCCGTTGTCTATCACTATCTCCAAACTTCAGAATTTGCACTACTCTATCTTACTCGTCCAGTCATTAACCGCCATGCAGCGTACTGATGAACAAGACATTATCACCATCTTTCAGAACAGCTTCCATCCCACTAGGTTCCAATAACTCCCAATCTTCATCATTGACTAGCGGAAGGATTCCAGGTTTGATATCCCATTCTGGCCCGGGTGAACAAAAAAGTGAAAGTGAAGTAGGTGGATTGACGCGTGTAGCCAAGACGGAAATGAGGTGCCGAATGTCAAAGGGTTCTGAAAGTTCCATCATCATCGTAGTCGAGTTGCCGAAGAGCGTCTCTAAGCCTCCTCTTCATGGTCATTGTAGCCCATCGAACACACATGACTTGTATTAATGAATATGAGACAGAATCAGAGAAGCGAGAACAGACCTACCCTAGTTCAACTTTCAGCTTGATTTGACGAAGGCCAGTCCCCCCTGGATCAGCAGATTGTGTTGATGGTGTCGCGGAGTCCATGTCGAGAACGGTGAGCAGCCGTACCAGATCTGTGCCGGGCAATGCAATCTCGTCTTGCCGTCAGTTACTTTTTTGTTTTGGGTGAGACGATTTTGTCCGTCTATTCGGATCGGAAAAACCCGGTCCGATATCCGAGCCTTCACAACATGCGGCTTTGTTGAAGCCTTGCTCCTCATTCTTGAAGGATGTCCCCAGCTTGGCTGTTCAGTAGGTCCTGCATGTCCTTCCCAACACAGATCAATCAGCTTATGAGCTGGAAACCCCCTACATACATGTGTAAGATGATATCCTATCAGCTCGTCTGTCTGGTCAAACCCAAGAAGACGGTCTGTCGAAAACTGATATTTGTGTGCTGTAGGATTACTTGGATTAATTAGGGTTCAAACCTCTTGCTAAGCTAGATTTGAAAGCGGAAAAGACCTGGAAACAAGGCTGATCCCACCTGACAAAGCCCATTGCAACAATGGGGACAGATTCAACGCTGCCTGGGACCTGTCCGTCAGAATGGCCTTTGGTGAGGGACCTGTTAAGGTAGAATACTGGTCTGATTCATGCAGGGCAGTGCTAAGCTTGCAAGCTTGGTACATGCCCTGCCAAGATTGCAAAGATGAGTGCCAAACTGAGGGACTTTGTTAATTTGGCAACACCACCAAGATATTGAACATGTCTGTTTTTCAAACACGTCCTATATAAATCCCAAAATTTGACTTCCAATACCAACTCAAAAGCTTCCACTTGTTTGGGCTCCACATCCTGACAAGTTGAAATTTTCTCATTGTTAAACTTATGGGCACCCTAGAAGGCTCTTGGATACAACCTCACACATCTTCTCTCCTGAGATCTGCTTCCAGGCACCACTTGGTGTACAAGGTGCACCTTTATTGGCAAATTGCTTGTAGCAGTCAAGAATGCTGATTTGTATGCCTGTGAACCAAATATAACCTAATACCATCAACCATCAACAGGATAAAGTGCTCTCCAGTTTCAACTCATGCTACCAGGTTCCACTTTTGATACTGGCATGTCTGCCCAGTATCTTGGCTTCAAAACACACTGTGGGGCACCCCAAGCCAGTTACATTTTTTTTGGCCTTTTTGCCCCCCATTCAAGCAAAATACTACTCTACAGAATCTGAAGAAATACCTCCAATGAAGACATTTACCAGCACCCTCACAGCCAAAAAAATATTCTAGATTTCTCAATCCAAGGTATCATCAGCCTCAAATCACCAGACAGAATACTCCTAAGGTTTTGAATCTGATCCAAGGTATTTTTACACAGCAAGAGATACCCCAGATCAAATCCTTGGACAAGATCTGTCCAAGGATTTAGATCCAATGATGCCTTAGATTCTGCAATCTAAGGCATCTATGTTGGTGGTGCCTTTGATCACTTAATTCAGGAGTATTACACAAATCTGAGCGGGTCTGCTATGCATACATCTTTTTTGACCTTACATTTGAGAAATGGGATCTGGGGCCTGACTGGGAGCTTGTACAATAAGGGCTCCACCAAAAATGGCCCGCTAAGCTAAGCTAAGGATTTTTGCCACCTTGGCTTAGCTTAGCTAGAAGCCGCTAAGGAAAAATCCGCTAACACTAATCTTATCAGATTTCCGCTAACGGGCAGAAAGACTTACACCCCAATGGGCTGAGTATGAAGCAGTAGTGGACTCTCAATAGTGTAGGATGGTTCCAATAGTATTTGAGTCACAACTTTCCTTTGCCTAGTAGTTGTACGCTCAATCTCCAGATCCACATCTCCATAATCACACACGCGTTTTCAAAGCTCTATTACAACAATCCACTTTACCGCGCGTGAAGATTTTCCATTGTTGGCGATTGTCATATTTTTTTATTTTTTCTTCCCACCCACCCACCCATCAGAAAAAAAAAAACATGACAAATTTTCATAATAAAATTTCTTTTTTCCTCATTTTACATTTTCAATTTAGGTAATAATTTTAAAAAAAAAGTACATCCAGATTTCCTTTAAATGTTTTATTTTAATTATCTTAATTGTGTTTTCTTTTCATTTATACGTGTGAAGCAGAAAAAATTTGTTTACAGTAGAAGTAACATTACAATTTACTGGGAGATTATTCCCAAATGATACATGGCTAAGAATATAGATAGGAAACCCAAGAAAATAGGACACAAAGAAGAGTAAGTAAAGGAGACAGTTTTCTTGGTAGGTTGAAAGAAGATCAATGCTTTTAACAAGCTAGGAGATTACCAATTCACAAGTTTCAATCACTCAAGCATATAAAATCTTCAGATGATGACCATTTGGATTGATAGTTGTCAGATTCAATGGTAACCAGATCACCCTCAAACTTATTCTGTATGGTTTTATTTGAAAGCCCTTTCATAATGAGAGAGTCCATGACAAACTCAACAACTTCATATATCTACGACTAGTAAAAGGCTCAATTTGGAGTCAAATAGAATTTTCAAGTAAGACGCGCAAAAGGCATCATAGATGTCCATATAAAATTTCCCAGATGATGACAAGTGTTCCAAAAGGAAAAAAACTCTACAAATGACATGTGGTATATGGAGCCAAAAATGAGGTATAAAGTAGAATGAGAGGTTGTACAAGCAGATCTTGATAGCTAAAAGAAAAAAAGGTTATTAAAAGAAGTTGAAGACGCGAGTTGTGGATATGTGAGGTAGAACAAATGATTCAACCCGTATTGGACGCTTCTATACACACGAGTTGATCAAGGCCGCGATGGACGAAACCCGCACACGCAAAGGGAGGGAAGGGCACGACGACAAAGTCTATTAAGCTTTTGGCGGTTCGACTGATTCTTGATGTTGTCGCTTGATGGTTCGCTTCCGTCGAGGTAGTTTCGTACAGCTATCCGCATCGGCTGAGCTGTCCGCCAGGTGCTTCGCAAGTGCCTCTGCCGCTTGAATCTCTGCCCATTTCGCTCGAAGTCTCTCTGACAAGGGTGGTGGAGCGGGTAAAACACGTGGTGGGGTGTGATTACACGCGTTCCTCAAGGCATCGAGAGTGGAGACCAATGGCAAGGGAGGGGAGATTTGAAAGCGTGTGAGGACAGGACAGGCCGGATGATGAGCAGTTGGCTGGCGAGGAAACATGCGTGGCACGCCGGCCTTTTGATCTCGATTCAAACTTGTTGATGGTGAGATCGCGTAGCCTTCTTGTGAGCCTACGCTTGTGGAGCCAAAAGTGGGTTTGAGGGCCGCACTAGAAGCTGTGGTGAGGGGGTCGACGCCGATGGATGGTCGCTTGCATGTACAGTGCGGAGGACTGCGACTTTGTGGCGGGGTGGGAGCAGTTGCGTCGCGAGATTTGGATGCGATGGCTGGTTGTTTAGAGGAGGAGGAACCAGCAGGCATCTTGCTCTGCGACGTAGATGAAGTGGGCTCGTCGGGTTTAGGAACTAGATGGATCGGTAAGCAAGCAACAAGTCAGCTTTGTGCTCGAGTCCACCTTTGATTTGTGAAAGAAGATATGGTAAAGACTAACCTGCCCAGGGGTTTTTGGTAGTGGACCGACGTCTGTGGGAAGCACTGTGATGAGAGTAGGTAAAGTAAGATTCGTCTTTGAGTTTGTGGGTTTGCGAATCGTTGTTTGAGGAAGGTGTTGGGAGGTGTGATTGAGTTAGACTGGCGGTCATGTTGGCTGTGTTTTGAGAAGTGATATTAGAAGTTGATAAAGGTTGATGGATGTTTGAAGATGAGGTATTCAAAGTGATATGATGAGGAATGTGATGATAGATTGAATGAGAAAGAAAGCAAGGAATAAGGAATGAAGACCAGGTATTTATATCGATTCAAAATGGCTTGAAGTTGAAAATTGTTAAATGAAATGGCTGTTGGTATTTCACACAAGTGTAACTAACCAACCAATCTCAGCCAATCAACTCGTCTATTTTAATTAGTGGTCTAGGTCAGTCTCCTTGTCGATCATCCGCCTTCTCTTTACCAAGACCGGCTTCAAATTTCTAGTCAACGGGATTACGGATAAACTTTGCACTACTGTCATCGGCTGACCACCGCCATCATCAATCATCCGTTTCAGGCCTGACGATGGTTAGAGTCTCAGCTTACAAATCTGAACAAATCAGCTCGGGTCGATTGTATAAGCCTTCTTTCGATTCCAAGCCCTCTGCAAGGTCCGTAATATCGAACAATCCAGCTTGCTATCGAATCGCAGAAGGCGGTTAGCACATGACCGTACTGGTTGTCGATCCCGTGTTGACTGCCGCCGATGAGGCAGTCTCGTGTTGCAACAGCAAGTATGTACTCAGGGACGGAATTAGGAAAATAGATGATCAGTATTGCAGCGATGAGACCATCTTCCAAAGGAAATACGGTCATCATAAGGACTTGTGGGCGAACAAAGGCTGGCCTCTGATGCTCAATTGAAGCTAGCCAGCCAAATGATGGATCATGTCATGTTCAAAGTAACAGGAAGAATACAATCATCTGATTGGCAAAAGGTGGATTTATATCGATCTTGGTGATGGCCAACAAACACAAGCAAGACAGGCTATATTATTCATGAATACATCCTGGCTGTGTAATATCCTTCTTTCTACCTTGCAAACAAAAAATCATCTAGTTTGCTAGCCTCCAAACCTCTCAGTCGAGTACCACATCTCAGACTCTCACCCACTCTTAGTGAGCAGCCTTCTCACACAAGAACAGTAATCTTGTGTCTTGTAATTTGGTCTCCAGGCAGAGATATTTTGAATCTCCAATCAGATCAATCAACATCAGATCATCAACTGTGGCTGCTAAGTTGGATCATACAGAGCCATGAGGTGGGGTAAGATGAAGTTTTGTGCAAATTCAAAAAACCTACAGTTGCTCCAGTCTAGTCACGACCAGACTCGCTCTGCAAAATCGAAATTTGATTACACAAGTTTACACACTGAACTCTTACTTACAAATCATGTGTAAAAAGTCATTTTTGGGCTCTAAGGGGGGTGTTTGTGTCAGAAATGACTTGGTGAGTCAACCTGCTTGGCCGATTTTTTTTTTTTTTACAAACCTCCAACATTTGGGTCTAGGTACCTAATGGACCTAATATTAAGTCCGTAAGTACCTTACTTAAGTATTTAAATCCTTAGGTAGCCACTTAAGCTGTTACTTATGTACCTTAAGTAAGTAGGTGGAGCACCTCTCATCACAACTCCTGGGGTACAGAACAGCATAGACTTGTATTTTTACAATACAAGGGTGAAGTATGCAGTGATAGAGTGAAGAAAAAGAACTTTCGCCGGAAAAAACCCCTGCAAATTTTTTTTTGGTATTACTGGGACCCCCCAACATTTGGGTCCCGGGGCCGGGGCCGGGGCCGGGCTCTGGTTGTGACTAGACTGGAGCAACTGTACAGGGAGATGATTGAAAGGAGACTTGGGGAGTTGGTTTGGCAAACATCAATGAATGAGACAAGGAAGAAGGAAAGGATAAATGAAATGAAATGGTGAACAGGCATGATGTCATATTACCATTGAAGGTAATATGATCATCTAAGACCCAACCCAACAGTTATATCTTCTACTTTGGATTACCTACATTCCAATATCACAATCAGTAATTGAACAGTGACCTACAACTATCTCCATGGTAATGAAGGAATCACTTGGACAAAAACACTAATGGTGGCTGTGCCAATACTTTATGAATTACATAACTCTAAAACCAAACAAAACCCTCTCCTACGTGCCTATAACAAAAGTGTATGTTGAAAAGTGGTGAAGAGGAGAGGAGAGAGTGAGAAATTCATCAAAAAGCAAGCCAGAACCATAGAGTTAGTAAATGACTTTCCAAAGAAGAATTATGGGAGAATATTCCATGTAACATGTTCATCTCTTCTTAAAAAAGAAAGAGAACAATGAGACTTTTAAGACAACAGCAACCATAATAAACCAACTTTTTGATGTTTTCCATATATTCTTCCTTAAGAAGACAAAAAGATCCACAACTCTTGACACAAAAATCTTGTCTAAGAATAAAATTCAAACACTAATGATCCAAGAATAATTCACATTAACAAAAAATGACAGACACATCAACATGCTTCAGTTCACCAATCACAGGGTTCTGAAAATATGGTAACCTCAGTGCTACATGACCTTGAATATATATATGGAAAGCTTCTGATGACCAACAACCATCACATTGAAACCTTTGATGATCTCTTCGAATTCTTTTTCTAGTACAGCTATTCACGAAATTCGTGTCCTGTTCGCATTTTTTTCTTTCTTTTTCCCCCCGCAAATACAGCTGCCGCGCAGCGCAGCAAACCTGTATCACCCCGTGGAATTGGTCAACCCCGAACCCCGGGATCTCTTAAGACACATCCTCCCCCTGGTTTGGTGCTCGCCACGTCGGCAATTTTCACATCCAATCCGCACGCCGAGTGATCACGATTGATCTCTCTTCAGTTTCACTTTCACTTTTGACTTATCAACTTATCAACCTCAATTCACATACAGATCCGTAAGTTTACATGTCTCTCAATTCTTCAAAATGATTGATTTGAATAACTAACTGACCTTGAGACTCCTTTTTTATATATAGTATGGATGGATGTCAAAAGCTAAAGCAAGATCTATAGGACTTAAATCAAATGTGAAGGTAAGGAGTTCATTAAAGATAAATCACCACCATGGAAAGAAATGCAAATCGAGATATATCCATCGGTAAGTGATTATAAACTTCCTTGAAAAGCTATTAACATCATTTCAAATTCTGATTCTTATGTTTCTGTAAACCTTTCTCCTTCTCCTTGGAAGTCATAGTCACTGGTTTACTTTGTTTACAAGCACATCCATCTGGAGCCAAACATTTTACTTGTTCAGTTGATGTGCTATGCAATTCATCCAATCTTGTACTTGTTTTAAAAAAGGCCAATCATCCCGTCGTCGAATTGGATGAATACAAAGTCACTTGCGCCACCAGATCTGTAAAGAGTCTTCCGCAAGCCAAATGCCCGACTAAATCAGACGTCAGCAATGCTAGCTTTGCTCATAAATTTAAAGCTTTCAAGGGTTCCAGATATCTGGGTCGAGAGCTCTTTCTACTCGCAGTGTGTGCTCCCCAGCAGGTTCTTGGGTCCAGATAACATGATCTTACAAGAACAAAGTATTCCTTGCACCAGAACACATTAACCAAACCACGACGCCAAATTAAAAACCTTATTAACACATCAATGCGTGTGCTTTGAATAACACTTTGAAACGAAGGGTATATCAAGCTTTGTCGTCCGTTTGCAGTTGGAATTTTATGAGGCACCGATCCTCAAGAAACCCTCAACACTCAGGAACACCACCTCTTGTTTTATGAGATGAACGGAGGCTGTTCATCTGAGAAATCCTTGGAGGTTTAGACTGGACTTCATGGTGCAGGCACCAAAGCCAGCAACTGATACAAGTTGTCAAAAGAAATCGATTTTTTGGTGTTTAAGATGTATATCATCCATATCTCTTTCATATATCTCCCCTCAAGTCATGGTTTGCAAATCCAACTAAGTCATGATTTGACCAGGTTGTTAATCATACCAAAGAATTATGAAATATTCTAATCAGTAAAAGGAAAATGAGAATGAAGGTGTGAATTGATGAGAAAAAGATACAGCATAATATTGATAACATTTTTTTCAATAACTCAATAACACACAAATCAATTATGAAAAGTCTTTTAGAAGGCTACATTGTCTACATGTAAATAATCCATTCAAGAAACCAATCACTCATCACCTCAAAACATTTAGATATCCAGATATTCAAGTTTGGTTGATCTTTCATCGATTCCAGAGTGAACTATAGCACCGCCATCATCATTTTGATGAGTTGATCGATCAGATAGATTTTGGTTTGATTAGATTGGATCAATACTTATTTTTTGGTTCCGAATGGACGTGCTTTAAGTGACATGAACCAGTGACAAGATTTTTCCATAACCTCAAAGAAAAAAAATTACGAACACATAAGAATCAGAATTCGAAACAAGGATGATAGCTTTTCAAGGAAGTTTATATTGACTTACTAAATTGATTTCCAGTTTGTGATTCGTATGTGAATTGAAGGAGAGTGAAGTAGATAAGTTGGTAAGGATCGATCAGAATCACCAATGTGCGGATTGGTTGTGAAAATTTTCAATGTGGCGAATACGGAATTGGAGGGAGGATGTGGCCCGCGGGGTTCGGGGTTGACCAATTCCACGGGGTGATACAGGTTTGCTGCGCTGCGCGTCAGCTGTATTTGCGGGGGAAAAAGACAGAAAAAAGTGCGAACAGGACACAAATTTCGTGAATAGCTGTAATTCCTGATTTTCAAAACAAGATTTATGATTAGGCTGGTTACACTACAAGAAATATAATATTTTCTGGGCAGAAAATTACATTATTGATACACAAAAATATTGAGAGGCCAGGCAAAGGGCAAAAAATAAATAAAAATATGCATCTTGTTCCCTGCGTTGAGAACTTCACTCTCCATATTTTTCCGTATTTTTACAGTCCATATTGATAAGTGTACTAACAATAAACCTTCATAATCATCCAATTACAACCTGTAACAAGCACTGAAATTTGGCTCATTAGTGTTTAGAGAAACTTTTGATTTCTGAAAAAACTCATAACTTTTTCAATTCCGGGCCAGAACGCTCGATTTTGAGTGCATTGGCAAGCTGGAATGGTCCTCCAAATAGTTCATAATAAGACCACACAGCATGCTGGTCTGCTAAAAAGGATATCATCTTTTTTATACATTTGTACATACAGATCCATAGAATGTGTGTCATACTAGCTACATAGTTATTGTCATTGTGAAAGTTTGAGAACGGGAGTTGGGCTTTCTAATGCACCTAAAATCAAGTGTTTTGAGGCAGATTTGACAAAGTTATGGGTGTTTTCAGAATTCAAAAGTTTCTCTAAACACTAATGAGCCAAATTTCAGTGCTTGTTACAGGTTGTAATTGGATGATTATCAAGGTTTATTGTTAGTACACTTATCAATATGGACTGTAAAAATACGGAGAAATATGGAGAGTGAAGCTCTCAATGCAGGGAACAAGATGCATATTTTTATTTATTTTTTGCCCTTCTCCTGGCCTCTCAATATTTCTGTATATCAATAATTTAATTTTCTGCCCAGAAAATATTATATTTCTTGTAGTGTTAAAACGTCAGAAGAAGGTAATGGCAATGAAGTCCAAAATCCCCCTGTGTGTCCTTTCATTGCTGATCTCACAAAGGGTTTATTGGGATGAAACTTGAGGTTTTAGTTCATGGAAAAGCTAAACTGTGTGACTATATCTTTCATTGAAACAGAAAGGCTGTATCTTAATCCAAAAAATATCTATGTGACTACATATGAAACAGTTTCAAATGCAAATAACTATCTTTGCAGGGAAGATACAGCTCATCAGCCAAACATTTAGATGAATGCTGTGGCTTCCTAATGAACCAATGATAGAGTGTTCTGGCCAAGAATTGCAAAAGATATGAGGGATTGTAGGATCCATATTATTGCCTTGTTACCCACAAGCCAAATTCCAATAATGGTTACAGGTTGTAATTTGATGATCCTGGAGGTTTTTTGTTAGTACAATCAAGAATTTGCACACTCAAGATACAACAAAATACTCATATTGAAGGTCTCAACCATGGGAACAATGTGCGTTTTTTGTCTCTCTCTTCCTGACTGTCCAATATTTTTATGTGTCAGTATTTATATCTTCTTCCCAGAAAATATTATATCTCTTGTAGTGGCACAATTTATTTAGTGAACACCTCATAAATCTTCACCTCAGCTGCCCTAATTGTAAATGCTGATAGGGGGAGCTCAAGTTGGGCAAAAAAGACAACCCTTTTACCTCCCATGAGCCCTTCAAATCCTTTTTTTTACAAAAAAACACTAAAATGTGCTTCTGAATCTCAAGAAGGGTTTTCTACAAATGTATTTTAAAAATTTATAAATATCATAAGCAGTGTCATTGGATGTAGGGACATTTGTATTTGAGGGATATTTTCCATTTCACTTGAAATCCCCCATGATATACCTCATGAAGTGTAAATCAATTCAGGGAAAAAACATACAAAAAAATCTTTGATCAGAAGAAAACTCTTTGAAATTTAAACCTCAGATTTGAAAAGAAAGGTAGTGAGATTGAAGAAGATATGTATATGGGATCAAATCAAAAGTTTTCAACTGAACTTTTTATACTACTCACTGTCAGGATCAAGATGAGTTATTGAGTTGTGAAGTTAAGGTTTTTGTATGTAAATGTTGTACATGTATGCATGTAAGTGTAAAATTCAAAGTTCACACCAATTTCTTATTCCTCTTATAACTTTCTTCACACACCTCTGTTACTAGTGGTCTAAAGTTTGTACATTATTTAATCCATGCTTCTTCGTTGAATGAGCTATCTACTATCCAACTCTGATGTCATTTAACATATGTAATAAGCTGAGGGCCTCCATTTTTGACAAAATTCACACCTTTTCACCTCTTTACACAGCTATTGCTAACACTCTCTTGCTTCAGTAATGTTACATCATCATATATAACCTTGAAAATCCAGCAAAATCCTCTTTGCAACCTCAAATATCACTACTACCACCATTACATATGTAAACTACCCGTAAAACCCTTCTTTACCAACTTCAAAAAAGTACTGTTTTCCTAATAGCTTTTATTCCTCCTTATCAACCATCAAGATTAAAATTGTTACTGTATAATATAATGCTGTTCTTTCATATTACAACCTCACAAAAAACGTAAGCCTAATATCAATACCCTAAAATCCATTTCCCAGCCTGTATACCTATATTTTTGAATTTTCCTGATGTTTTTGTTTCTTTTCTTTTCACAATCCTTCTGCTAACAGTTCACATTGATCTTAATAAGTTAATTGAAATATGTGACCTCATCATAATTTAATGTACAATTCATAATCCTTAAAGAGCTTCTATTGATCAGATTCCATCAATTTTAAGTTTTTCTTTGCACCAAACTTTTCTAATAACTCGGCAAACTACTTGTGATTAATTTTCTTTGGTTGATCCCATGAATTGATCACCAAAAATGTCAAAAGCTCAATGGTTTGATTTTGGCCTTGGAGGTCAAGAAAAACAATTGCCTTTGACTTTTACACCACAGTGAGCCAAGTGGCAGAGCTACCAAGTCTTTGATCAGAATTTCAAGGTGAGCTCTCACAGTAGGAGGGCAGCCATAGCCAAAGTGATGAATTTGGTGGAAGGTGTGCTGTCTGAAATCTGAAACTTGTCATTACCTTTATGCAGAGTTGAGCCATTGACAAAGCCCTGGATTTTGAGACTGGAGGAAACCCACACTCCTTGAATAGCATTGGAAGCACTGGGACATTGTTTGTTGCAGGCCTCAAAAAGCTTCTGTTTGGATAAAAACCAGGGAATGTTCTGTGGCTGGCAGATGAATTTTTTACCAAATTTGGGGTTGTAATTGGTGTACTTGAGGACTGGGGACTTTTACTTGCTGAGTCTGTGTCCTCCGGGTCCTTGCTTCTTTGGATCAGGCAAGTCTGGGACCTGAAGTTGCCAAAGGTTTGAAACCTGGAATGTCTGTTTGTTGCTGATGTCCGGACCACACAGGTTTGAAGCAGATGCCGCAGACTCAGGGGCCGGGGCCACTTCATCCTCAAATTTGACTGGGGATTCTGACCAAAGATACAAAAAAACATCATAATAATAAGCCACTGAGGTTCCATATAACAAGGTGGTAGTTGGGGCTGGGGTGACTCTTACCTGGGGCAGGGATGATGACATCAAGGATATCAAGCAGCAGATCTACAAAAATTGACAAATGCAAAAACAAAGAGCAACATCAGATCAGACATATGATATTTTGCGGTGTGTGAACAGTCAACTTCTTACCTGGGGAAGGGTTATCATTCCTGGACACCAAAGGATGAGCAGTTGATTTGGCTTACAGGCCTCTTCAATGGTGAAGTTTCAGCCCTGGGTAAGTGAGCATTACCCAAGGATGTTGTGTACAAGATCAAAGTACTTGCCAAGGCTGGGTGTTGACAAGATTGAGAAGTTTTGAAAAAGGACTGATAGAGGGGTTGATAGACAAGACCAAAGATGACTGGGAGGAATTGGATGGGGCAATGCCACTTGGGGATGTCTCCCAGGCAGATGTGAAGGTGACATGGCAGACAAATAGGCCAGAGCAGGTTGACATGGACTGTATGGAGGGGGTAAGTTTCCAGAAAAATCCAAAAGACCCGGGAGCAGTGTAGCTGCGCTGGGGGTGGACAAGATCCTGCATGGATGAAGGATGTCAACAATGGTTATATGAAAACAAAGAAAAATTCAATGACTTACTGGTCTCTCGTCATGCTTCGAGCTACCAGGGCCTGGTATCTGCATGTGCAAATCACCCATGGTGGAGATTGGGCTTGTGGGTGATTGATTTGGTTTTTGGCTGGTCTTCAATGGTCATGAAACAAATCAAAACAAGTTAATTTCAGTGAAAAAAGATTGGAGAGCAAAAAAAAGGATAAAGAATGAAAGGACAAACATTGCTAGTTTTTGGATGGCCATGGTGTAAGGCTGTAAGATTTTGATTCTTCAAATTGAGTGAATCTATCTTTTCTGGGGATGTTGATAGGACCAGGCCGCCACCTTTTTGTTGAAATCCAATCAAGACAGGTCTAAGTGTAGTACTTACAAGTCTAGTCCGAAAAGGTTACGATGTTAGGTTATAGCAGTGTAGGGTTAGGATGACTGGTCTCAGAGTGGTTTTCAGGTTTGACGGTTAATCATCCCAATCAATGTTATCGAAAATCTTCCCCAATTTGTTTTGAGTGTTTTCCTTTTTGGCGCTATGAGTAAAATATAGGTGTACTAAATCCTGCTCTAAGGAATAGTCACCTGTGGCTACTAGATCTTTGGAGCAGTACCCGAGTAAAGTAGTGTAATTTCCCTTGGGTAAAAGCCGCTTCATCACTGTAGATTCCTGGACTTGTCAGACGCATCTCCAGATTTGTTTCCAAGGCTGATTTTCACAAGTCTACACAAAGACCAATCTACGCATCAGCAGACACGTCTGCAGACTGTTTACACAAGGCCATGGCCCACACCTGAGTCCACTGCTGAGCTACACCCACCAATTGCTCAACTTCACAAACCCGTTGCTCAACTTCACAAACCAACCCAAACTTCCAAACCTCAAAGTTTCAAACTCATCAACACTCGTCACACCTCACCACCTCATGAAGCTCCCACCTCTCATCGCTTGAGAAACAATCAATCAACACTCAATCGGTTTTGCAGGAACGGCGTTTGAAGATTCCAGATCCACTCAAACTATCATCGATCAATTAGAACAACCCATTCACCCTCAATTTTCTACTTGTCATTTGCAAAGCTTAACAATTCAATCAAGAAGACTCTTCAATGAATGCGTGCTATCAAAACGTGGATCAGAATCAAGTCTTACAAAACCGACAGCTTGGTCAAGTCTTGTTTCATATCTGAGATCGACTTGGATTGATCCAAACTAGAATTCTGATTTATCTTTTCATGTCATTTGGGTGTGAGTTTTCTGGAAAAAGAATTGCTAAACAATTATCATGATACTAATTATGTTTTTTTGATTTGAAATTCTACGCATGTTCAAGTTGAAGTTCTTACAGATCAAATTTACTTGTTTCACGTCTTTCTTTCCACGACATCACCTAAGAATGATTCCTATGCCCAAAAATCATATTGCAGAAAGTAAAATTGTTGTTGCGACTTCCTTTTTTTAAGTGTGTGTCACATCACATCAAATCATTTTGGAAAGTAATAGTAGGAATCGTATTTGTGGACTTTTGTAAGCCGCATCCGCTTTTGTCAGCCGCCTCCGAGATTGTTGAGCTTGGCAATGGAGTATTACAAATACAAAGAAAATTGTAGTTCAGAAGATTGATGATCATGATTGATCACAAGCGCAAATAGCCAAATTGTGAAGGTCCTTGTGAAGGTCCTCCATACACATACAGATGACCAAGGGTATATATTTGTATATAATTTTTTAGATAGGAGGCTGTCCTCAGACATGTTTATCGAATTGATTATAATCGCTCTATCGCTTGGTCTGATACCAATTTGATTTGCTATTTGCAAACACTTTCTTTGAAAATAACGATTGAAACCAACTTGAAAGCATTCATTGCACTAAACATACTACATGTATATGTAACCTTACTCATTTGAATTGGTTGTACGCAAGAGTCTTTATCTACAGTGTTGAAAAGACTGAAAAAAACAAAAAATGGAACAAGATTTCTTGAAGGAACTCTCATTTTGGATACTTTCAAACCATTCAAATCCTTACACCGGAGCTCACTTGACATCAAACATGATTATGATCACTTCCGTCAAAGAAGGTAAAAAAATAAGTCGCGTCAGAAATTCAAATAATGTAGGATTGTATTTTATAAGAAGCACAAACTTCACTGGTCCCATATTTTAAGTCTCATCATCTTCAATACCAATACTACCAAGCCCATGCCACTCTGGTTCGTCTTCTTCCGGGTTTTCATCCGACTTGTCCTGATCTTTTTCAAAGTTTGTATCTTCTTGGTCAGATTCATGCACAGACATGTGATCATCTTCACCGGGTATTTTTTCCAGTTTGAACAGTCCGGCGTTCACATCATTCAGCCATAGATTACGCCGGCTGTTGGTCATGGCATTAAATCCTAGCTGCAAGACTTCGGAAGGAAGAGTCGATCCAGGTAGTTGTACCATCTTGATGTTGTATCCCTTTTTGATCAATCGAGCGGCAGGGTCTGTTCCTCGAGGAAATCCTTGAGAAGGTGAGGTTTTCAATGCCTTTTCTGTAGAAATCAATCATTTTGTTGTTTGTCAGCGCTCCTTGAATATAGCCCAATAGAATCAGGAGGAAATAGTGAAAGAAAAAGCGTACTCAATTTGGCACGCAACAATTTTGCAAGTTTCCCTTTCGTCTCATCTGCCGAAGAAACCGGAGCAGTCGTAGATTTCTTGTTCTTACCAATAACCTTTGCAACAGCTTGGTCCACGGACTGACCTTGGGTCTGTGCAGCAAATATAGTTTGAAAGTTACACTTCTCACGGACATACTTAGCCATGTCTTTGTGTGAGGTATACTCTCTGCACCACCCAGGAGCCTCTGAATCTCCCTTGGTAGACGTGTAGGTACTACTAGCAATGAAGTAATACGCAAAATCCATGTGATTGGATTGGGTTTCGATCTATGTATGACATATGGATAAACATTCCATCAATTGAATTGAATAAATGTAAGCAAGTGGTCAAAGTGAAAAAGTAGATTCAAATATCACACCTGATTGTGAAGCTTCTGTACACACTTCAAAGACTTCTTATTATAGTTCGCTAATGATGTTCCTTGTGGTATACCAGCAGCCACCTTTGCATATACTTTGGCTACCTTCGATTTGCAGACCATGCGATCATATAAGGCTTGCAGGTTGGCTCTCTCTTCAGTAGTTAACTTGATTGACTTTTCACATCTATCGGATTGTTAATCTTCGTCCTTGTTGTCCTCATCGTCGGTATGATCTGAAGCTTTTGGATCAGGCAGGCCAGAAAGCAAGTAGAAAATGGGCGGATGGAAGACACGTTTTTCGTCATCGGACAGCGATTTCCACATTGCTGCTGTTTCACGATTTCGTTCACCTAATGCTTTTTTCTGGCTTGTGCGAGGCACTGTTGACCAAGATGATATAACTCACAAGGTAAGCAGGCAAAAATATAGACGCAGTTGCAAAAGATTTACTTACTCCTTGCCTCAAGAGCCCGGGTAGCATAACTCTGCCAAAGCCGCAAACAATCCGGAGACCGGGTTCCACCTAGCTCTCCACTATTGATTGAATCACATAACCAGTCAATAAATATCAATCTATATGTGCTATTTGACATAAAGGGAGGCTTTCTCACATGGCTTTATTCAATGTGAATAAGGAGACCCCGCCCATGATCGCAAGCATAGCTTTCACCGTGTCCGGGTAGTGTTCGCTCGTCGACGAGCGCGCACGACTTCCCTTTCTGCCTCAAAGGGAGTTGGTGTGCGCTCGTCGACTAGCAAAGCCTACACAGACACGGTGTTTGTGTTGTTTGTACAATTTCTGGATTGCTTTGAGCTCGTCCAAGATGTGTGCCAGTACCGCGGAGCTGTGGGGTGGGTGATCAAGTTCATACTGTGCAATACGTGAGTCGTGCCACTGTTTAACCTGACTCTGATAGGTTTTGATTGTTGGAAGAACAGGATCAACGATTTCAGATTCGGGGAGGTGGCTGAAATCTTGGACGTTGTTAAGTGTGGAATTTCCAGTGCTGAGTGTCAAATTGGCTCTAGGGGGAGTCGTTGCGATACTGTTTCGAAGACGTTCTAGAATTGACTCGTCATCGTCGTCATCATCATCATCAATATCAGGAAAGACATCCTCATCGTCATGTTGGGTTTCATTGGTGTCGATGCGAACTCGTTTTGAAGGCCTGCTGCTAGCTTTCTTAGCTCTGGAGCGATTGTGCAAGATTTTTGCGGTCGGTTCTTTGTCATGATTGGTTGTAGATTGTTCGGATTCTGAATTGTCCGGATTGGGCTGGTACATATCGTCATCGGGAGTTTCATTTTCGGAATCTGAGTGTGAATGTAAATTATTAGACTGATGGTTGGTGGAAGCTGAGGCGCCTTTGCGTTTAGTGCTGCCACGAGTTGAACGAGTGTCCAAATTGGTTTGGGTAGCGGATGGCGTTGGAAGCGTAGCTGCGGCTGATTTCTTATTCTTGGCAATTGACGATGAAGTGTTGTTGGATTCAATATGAGGAAGGGTACATTGCGGTTGAGATGGACGATGTTTGGAGCGGGTGATAGGCATGATAATGAATCTGGATGTAAGATCAATCCAGCACAACCGTCTTGTTTTGTTCAAATCAAGTGGAATTTGAGAAGTGCAATTTGTGAGGGGGTTACTTCAAAAGGGTTAAGTAGTTTGATTGATGGAACCACTTAGTACAGTACAGGCTTACGTATACATATGTAAGAATCAGATGTATGTACCTCTTGTTAAAGTATGATGCCTTGATATCACACAACTTTTCATTCAAAATTATGTAACCATTGATTTTGTCATTGAAGGAAAATTACAAAGTTGTAGCATTGAGTCTGTCATTTTCATGTAGTACATGCCATGTACACGCTTTTACTATTCATTTGTCACATTTCTACTGAATTGGTTTGTATAGTGAGCACCCAAAGGGTTTCCAGATTGTTTCACATTCTCTCATTGGTTGAAAAACACTACATCAAAATTCTGATCATATCTGTGAGTAGTTGCAAGTTATGCTTCACCTTTGAAGATCAAGTAATCTTTGCGCACAATAGTTAGTTATGTGACAGGTAAGTTTCCTCAAGTGGATATCTGTTTCTTTGTGTGTTGGTCACAGCTTTTTGTTTGCTCTCATATTTCTTGAAATATGAGTTTTTGGTGAGTTAGTAGATGGAATTACAATTACAATCAATTTGAACTAACAATCTTCAACATAAGATTGATCAATGTGGAGACTGTGCTCAGTTTATGATAGAATCTTAGGGTGTGTGTGCATATATGTGCGCTGTTTGATGTCAGTGCAGCATCTTCCAAAGATACTGTGCATCAAAGTTATGTCCAGGTGGATTGTCCCAGATGTAAGTTGAGTTAAACTATCTGTCTCAACAGTCATCACAAGAACTGCAGTAGTATTGACAAAGTTGATCACAAAAAGATGAGTTGAAATAAACATTCTTATATACAGTCAACTCCAGGTGGATTCTCCCACAGGTAACTTGGATCATAGTATCTATCTCAACAATCATCAGAAGAATTGCAGAATTTTGTAATAAGATATCAAAAAGTGATGAGTTGGAATGTGGTTTGGTGACTTAGTGGGGTGGAAACCACATATCATAAACATCCTTATATCAACTCCAGGTGGATTGTCTGGGTGGATTGTCCAATATGTCATTTCAGTCAAATAATCTTTCTCAACAATCATATCAAGAACTGATGTAGTATTGAAATATATATTACAAAACTGCTTGGTTGAAATCATAAACATTCTTATATATAGTCAACCAAAGTACTATATACGTGGATTGTCCCAGATGTAAAATCAGTCAAATAATATTTCTCAACACCCATAAAATGAACTGATGTAGTATTGAAAAGTTATTACAAGAACCTTGGTTGAAATGTGGGACATTGACTTACTGGGGTGATAACAATTAAAGTGTATATGCGCTGTTTGATGCCAGTACCACATCTTCTGAAGATATAGCGCATCAAATTTATGCCCATGTGAATTGTTCCAAATGTAAGTTGAGGCAAAGTAACCACAATAACTGAAGTAGTATTGAAAGATTTATTTACAAAAAGGTGAGGTGAAATGTGGGTTAGTGAATTATTGTGGTGAAAACAACATATCATAAACATCCTGTGGCAATTTACTTTCAAATCATTCAATATATACTTCACTTGGTTTGTCCCAGGCATGTGGTCCCAGGCATTAATTTGGCCAAATGATCTTTTGAAACAATCATAACAACAATTGGAGCTGTGGTGATTTACTTTGAAGTCAATCAATATATACTAGTAAATCTATCATATCAACAATTGAGGCTGTGGTGATTTACTTTGAAATCACTCAATATATACTAGTAAATATATCATATCAACCATTGAAGCTGTGGTGATTTACTTTATATACTAGGAAAAATATCCTTACTTTCTCTATTGAAGTGTAAATATATATCAACTCATAATTGCCTGCTAGTAGGACCTTTCCCTTCCTCACACTGACACCTTAGGAAAACCGCTTGTTCTTCTCTTCATATTAATGATACTTGACAAGTTGTGGTCAATCATTGTAAAAAGCTTGTGTGTAAATAACCCCAACGGCATAAGTAACTTATTTCAGACTACGTATAGATGATTATGTACATCTCATCATCTCGCTTATTTGTGATGATCTTCGTTAAGGATATGTGAAGATCATCGTCAGTGTGATGATTAATCAATCATTAACAGTGGCGGGAGACTTACTCATTAACAATGGCCAAACACTGCTCTCATACTTTCAGTCTTTCTTGTGCAAAGGACTTGGTGACAGGTGTCTGTCCGCTCATGCTAATGTAGATTATGTTGAATTAGATCTTCTTGAATGTCAAGATGAACTAATTGCATGGTATTTCAAAACGGGTGACCATTGTGATATGTACCCTCATTGGAACTCTCCGGTGCCTGGGCCTCTTTTACTTAATGGAGAAAATCATAGCCTATTGGGTGATTCAGCTAAAGGAGCATTGTCTATCAGCTATATCAATCACAACGCTTATAACTTTCCCCCATCATATTTGTTAAATTCATCTTGTTATGGCTCCAAAGGGCCGCTCGATTCCATGTCCTTTCGGCGCTTCTAAAAAGAAGAGAACCACCTCGATTCAACCTGGACCTTCATCTCGATTAGTTGCAGAAGTCGAGGCCAACGAGAGTTGCTGGGCGCAAAACCGGACTAATGAGCCAACTCGCGCGCTCGCAAACCATTCAGCAATGCAACTTTCAAATGTCGAAGTCGATGAAGCTCAGAGTGGGAGTGATGGAGGTTCTGAATCCAATTCGTATTTTAACAATTATCCACATATCAACAACTCTATTGGGACCGATAATCATGAAGTGTTTCCAGACGTGAATGGTTCGTTTATTGAGTATGTCAAAGGGAGTTATTACAAGCATAAGCCATTAAAAGAATCAAATAACTGGCTCAAAGTGATACCACAGATGTTTGTCGCTTACATGAATTGCTCTCAGCCTACCTCACAATGGGGTGATAAGGCACAATGGGACATGGATCGTAACACTACACAAAATGTCATCTTTACCGGGCGGTAAAGAAAACTACTGACATAGAAAAGTCCTGAGGCAACAGGAAGAGAGCTAAAAATCTGAAAAAATACACACCTTGTTCCTAGATGTTGGGGCGTCATGACGAGTATTTTTTTGTATTTTACACACAGATATTGGTTAATGTACTAACAATAAAGGCTGAGAATCATCAAAAACCCACCTGTAACAATACCTGAAATTTGGCCCTTGCCTTTGAAGACAGGATTTTGGAATCTTCAAACATCAATAACTTTTGCAGTTCTGAATCAAATCACTCAATTTGAAGTGCATTAAAAAGGTGAGTCTTTCCTCTACATTTTTCATTCAGACATCACATCTGTCGCTGGTCTAAAAAAGATCCTACAGAGCTATTCATGCAGAACTGTTTGAACATATGTAGAGTGTTTAAATGACTAGATAGCACCTTACTAACATTATGAAGTGTGAAGGAGAATAGTTCAGCTTTTGAATGAACCAAAAATCGAGTTATTTGAAGCAGAACTGAAAAAGTTATTGAAGTTTTTAGACCACAAAATATTGTCTTCATACTCATGACCCAAATTTCAGGTATTGTTACATGTGAGTTTTTGATGATTTTCAACGTTTATTGTTAGTACAAAAACCAATATCTGCGTGTAAAATACAGAAAAGTACTCATCATGACGCCCCAACATCTAGGAACAAGGTGCATATTTTTTCAGATTTTTAGCTCTCTTCCTGTTGCCTCAGGACTTTTCTATGTCAGTAGTTTTCTTTACCGCCCGGTAAAGATTACATTTGGTGTAGTGTAACATGCTGTGCTCCTGTGGAGACGGAGACCGAAGCTCTCAACTCGTAGACATCGTAGACATTGTAGGTACATAAACCTTTTCTTACATGTACAAACTACTCAAGATGGAGAATGACAAGATTGAAGTGATATTTGTAGCTCGCGATCAGGCTGAGATACAATTTTGTAAATGTACTCCAGACCAAGTACGGCTTATTCGGATGGGCTACATAGGAGGCTCTCCTGTTCATCCTTGGACTGCATATTCGATTCGACTGCTGAAGTTGCATCACCACTTATGGAAGTATTGCACCGTCCGTACTCAGGGATTTGCGCTTGCCTTGGACGAGTCTCTTGACGCAATCAATGCACTGATATTGGTAGAAGGAACAAACGAGGTACAGTTCAACCATTTATTTGAAACTCACAAGAACTTACTGACGGCTGAAACTCTACCCATCACTAGCCTCGTCTTTGGAGGCGGACTATGTCTTTGGCTATAGATGCTTTCAGACATATGTTACAAATGGAGGAGGAGTTGGCCATTCGAGCCCTTCTTCTAACAGCACTGCAAAAACTTGCCCAGATCTGCCCCCATTGTTTTGGTCCTCTTCAAGAAAACGATGAAATAGACGAAAGTGACTATGTAGTTTGTTGTGACGGAAACTTTCAGCACCGTAGGCACAAAGCGGCCAGTCGCGAGTATGAAGAAAAAGAGGTAGTGTTACCGTCACTGTTCATGGATCCATGAGACGTAGCTAAATGGGACCCAGGTCTTTCAAAAAAGGACCAACAAAAAGAATTCAAGGTATGGACATTGTATTTGGGATTGTAGCTTTCTTCGATCTGACCTATCTTCAAATAGGATCGGTGTACATCCCAGCACACTGCTGCTGCGGACCATCAAGGCGCCAGTACCTGGAAAGGTTGTGATGAAACTGGACTTATAGGCATGTGTAATGATGCATATATATACATCATCACAACATTACATTAAGTACACATACCTTACATACCTAGACCTTAGACTTAGACTTAGTAGTTTTTCATATATCCATCGAGTGCCACGCTTACGGAATGGCTCCTTAGGGAACTCAAGACTGATCTCGTATTCTATTCCTTTGGAGCCAGGTTAGCAAACTCATTTCTCTTATTTCTATTTATATCAATTTCTCTTATTCATACAACT